ATAATTATTTTCAATTCTACATACTATCTTTAGCTGCTTTTAAAAACGTTCTAAGAAAGTCCAATCAGACCAATTTAATCCCTAAACTATTCCACACTTTTAAAATTTAATTACCTAAAAATATTAAAAACTATTTAAAATAACTTGTTTAGTAGACTGTACAATAGTTATCTTAGTCACATGTAGCGCGTTCTCTGTCTGGGCGTCGAACACCTGTAGAAATTTGATGAACTGTACATTATTTATTTTTTTGTAAAAAAAACTAAACGTTTTTTAGGTTAAATTTTATATTACAAATATGTTTTCAATAAATACATATTTATAGGAGACATGTTGTTTTATAATAGCCCTTGTGTGTTAAACTAAGCACAAAAAACTTTGAACTAGTTTTTCTCTTTTTCTCGAAAACAACATTCAAGTAGATAGGCTCTTCATTCATTCATTCATGTCTTCAATTTAGATCAGCGTTTCACAAACCAGGGGGCAGCAATGAGCCATGTTCTTGACCGCTTGCAATCGTATTTCTGATAAAGATCTTGAAAATGTAGTTTTGAATTTCGTTTTACTTTTCACTGACGTCAAATAATTTTTTCTTCTTTTGAAATTACGGATTTCTTTTGACATTTCTTCCTTAGATAATAAAGTCTTTCATGCAAAATAAAGTTTCTTCAGATGTTTCTTCTTTAAAAAATTATATTTCTTCCTTGGAATAAAAGGTGTCTTCTGAAATGTCTTCTATGAAAAACGAACTTTCTTCCGATTTAAAAAACAAAATCACTTCTTTGAAAGATGAAATTTCTTCTGACATGTCTTTTCTAAAAAATGAAATTTCTGCTAGTAATAAAAATAAGATATTTTCAGCTGAGGATAAAATAACGTCTTCGTTTGAGGAGATAATAAAAGAGATGGAGAAGAAGATAGACGAAATGGAACATACAGAACAGGCCAAGGATGGTGAATTAAAGTGCTGTGAGGTGTTAAAGGCCCAACTTTTAACGGGTAAATATCATGAACCAATTACCTTAAACAGTTCGAAACCGCTGCCAGAGCAAACGAATGGTCTGAACGAGAGAAGGCAGTAAATTTGACCTTCGACCTTCGATGAGAAGCTCTAGGTATCCTTCAGACTATGCCCGTGGAAGAGCCAAATGATTTTGAACAACTTAAAAGAGACTAAACATGCAATATGGCCACGAACACTTGTATCAATCACAGCTAAATAATCGCAAACAGAAACGTGACAAGACCTTTCAAAAATATGAAGTAAATATTGCCAGGTTGGTGCGATTTGCACCCATCAGTTCCGGAAAACATGATGGAATGTTTGACAGTCTAAACACTTGTTGATAGACTTCGTGACCATTAAATGCAGAAAACACTCCGTCTAGCGCGTTACAAAACATTGGTCGATATCATCTCTGCTGCTCTTGAATATGAAACAGCTACGCTGGCTTCTGGTGAATACAGTGAAGTAAGGACTGTAAAAGAGGAAGAACAGGGAAATAAATTCGACCAATTGTTTATCGTGATAAAAATTCTTATTGAGAACCAACGGAAGACTATCAGGTTCTGAAATTGCGATGAAATGGAAAATGTAAGCGTTCGCGCAAACGCTCTAAGAACAATAGGACTCGAAAAACCGTGCCGGTTGGAAGGAACGGTGGTGCCTGATAGATGTGAAAACCATCAGAGTATCGCTAGAACTCTAGAAAAAGGAACGCCTGTCATGGTGGAACCTTCGAAACGCAATGAAGGTGTTGGTAAAGGAACTCTAGTTAGAAAGGGGTTAGACACATCTATTAAAGAAGATACAATATGAAGAACAACGGTTGTCAACGATTAGTAGGTTCCTGTCAAACTAAGGGAAAAGCAAGAAAACGATCCCGTTTTAAAGTAAAAGAGACAATGGAAAAAGGAAAATCGTTGACCTACTTGGCAAGAAGCATCAAAACTCTCTGCAGTATTTAAGTCATATTGGGCTCACTGGGCCTCTTTTATTCTGTAAAAAGGCTTTAAAGCGAGTACTAGAGAATGATGATGGTTCCGCAAGCAAAAGACAGTTGGTCATTTCAAAGACTAGGGTAGCCAAAATACTTCGTCAGTTACACGACAGTCCACCAGGACATCTCGTTGTTAAGAAACACCTTCAGGAGAGTCCGTGAAAGGTTTTATTGGATGAACAATTCCCATTATGTAAAGGATTGGTGTAAGAAATGTACCACCTGTGCTATGAGTAATGGACCCGAACTAAAAAGGAAGGCCCCATGAAGGATTGCCTTAGATATTACTGAATCATTCCTTATGATTAGGGATGGTAATAAATACATAATGGTGGTTATGAATTATTTCACGAAGTCTACGCTATTCCCAATTAAGAGGCCGCAACTGTTAATAAAAGAATTTATCAGTAGATTTGGAGTGCCCTTGAAGAACTACGGTGACCAAGGTAGACATTTTGAATACTTGATTTTCTGACAAATCTGTGACAGACTAGGCATGATAAAGACAATTGGCAATTACCTGTCAAAAGTGATTTCTAACCATCAGCAAGATAGGGATCAGCTCTTTCAATATTCGCAATAGTATATACAGACCAAACATCAGCGAAGGAGCTGTTCGGACGTGAGATGAGACTACCGTGTGACCTCGAGTATGGATGGCGACCTGGGCAAGACATAGACGGAGAAGATCATGTGATCCAGCTACGAAGAAAAATGGACGAAATGCATGAGTTAATTCGTTCGCTTCTTCAAATCGATAGCGACAAAATAAATAAGCCATACGATACCCAAGCCACATAAGAATGTTTCAATGAAGGCGACAAAGTCTGGCTTCATGACCCAAAAAGACAAAAGGGTTAGTCTCCGAAAGGTCTTGGAAAGATCCGTACATTATCAAAAAATTAATTATGTCATTTACCGTATGAGTAAAATCAGTGTTTCACAAAGACAAGTAGCTTGGCTTGAAAACAAAAAGCTTGGCTTGGCTTGAAAATCAAGCTTTTTTAAAACAAAAAGCTTGACTTGGTTTGATTTTTATAAGTCCAGGCTTGGCTTGTTTACCAAGCTTTTTTAAGCTTTGCCAAGATTTATCAAGATTTAAAGGCTTGGCTTGATTTCAAGCCAAGCTTTTGAAAAACAGCCTGTGAATCTTTGAGTAAAAGTCTGGACAGTAAAACGAAGGTAATGCAATAAAGCCGGTTGGCGCCATTTAAGGGTGACGATGATGAGGAAGAAGAAGTAAACCAGCTCCAAGCAACACCTGACCTTGTCTTTAAAGAATTTATGGGTGCATATGGAGATACTGGAAAAGCAAGACATGGTGTTACAACCTAGCAACAACAAGACCTGCAGAAGGTTCCTAAAGACTACTCGCCAGTCTATAACACCAGCATCAACGATGCTTGAAGTCTGGCATCTGTGTTCTGAGAGAAAGTTTGTCGATTACGAGAACCTCTAGGTCAGTTACTAGACCTGACAAGGCCTCAAAACTTCAAGATGGGCCGCGTTGCCTTTTTTATTTGGTAAAAAAGGACACCTTTCGAGATTGATCCACTTATCATGATGTATGGAAAGCATTACTTAGTCTGAGGGAGCATATAGTGGAGTAAAATGTATAGAAACTAGCTATGCCAAACATGGTGAAAGTAATCTTCCAAGATACCGAGGTCCAAATACTGGTCTGCAGCCATTCGCCTAGTGTTCAGGTTAGAGCGAAAACCGTTATTTCTGTGCAAATGGAAATTATAAAAGAGGTTCCAGTTGCAGATTCATTCAGTTTAGTTCCAGGAGGAACTATCTCTTAATGAGGGGGCAATGTCATGCGATCGCCTGAGGACAACTCTGTACTCTATTTACCTTAGCGCGCCATAGAGTCTGGCATTAGCCTTCGCTGCCCGTTTACCTCGAAGACTCGAAAAAGTAACTAGAATATTTCTTGTACAATTTTATATATAAGTGATTTCTTTCGCCGTTTAAGTTAAGTTTCAATATAAATGTTGTCGAATAAAGATAAACTGTTAAAATAAATTATGAGTGTGAATTCTAATAGTGCTTAAGTATTATTAATAAATGAATTAGTAGCAGTGTAAATAAATAAACTGTTTTAAATAAATAAACTATTTTCAAATTAAACAATCGTTACAATATTATTGATCGACCGCCCTTTAAACACCAGCCTATTTACCTAATACGCTAGAATTTAGTTTTTCGGTTATTAAATTGGTGCTTGTTTATTTTATTTTTGTATTTATAATTCCTTTTTAGAACACATCTGAAAGTGATGGAGTGGATATTATTCTATTATCCCAGAAGGTATATTATTAAATTTTCGAATATACAATTAGGTAGTTAATGTTATGTTTCTGTCTTTACAAGTTAACTACCGCACTAGGGTATAAAAATTTAATTAAATGAATGAAAATAATTTAGATATAGGTCATTTAATTTAATATTTAAAAGCAAACCGGACACCTCGAAAATTTATAATTCATTCTGAGCCTTTATTTTTACTCCGATTGTTGTGAAATTTTCAGGAAATACCTATAACAAAAATTTTAAAAATAAGTTTAAAAAAAAACATTTACGCGCCATTCTGTATTAAATATTTAAAAATTTAATGCTTTTTGTTTTAATAAATATCAAGTAGTTTTTAAATTAAATGCTTTTCCACCTTTTTTTTTCTTAAACGTCTCTGTAGAGTGCTACCTTATCGTTGCATAAATTTAAAGCTCTCAATATTGTCAAGACATATAATATCACGAAGTATTCCCAGTGGCACGCATATAAATAAATAAAATTTTATATTAGAAAATCCTTAAAACATTTTTGCTTTCGCGAGGGGTCCGGTTTCCTCTTAAGTCTAATATTTAGTTTATTTCACTTTTACAGATACAATTTAGGCAATTAAATATATTCTTTGTTATAAGCAGTATAAAATAAATAATCTGAAAAGATACTATTATAAAAGGAAACAATTAAAATGATTTCTCTTTTTTGCAGGTCCAACCGAATGCAAGGGAGGATCAGATTCAGAATCAGAATGTGTGTTATCTGATCCGTGCAGTTATCTCACGCGGGAAGACGACGCCGAAGAAGAGTCGCCTGAAAGAAAAGTTTCATTTTTGAACAATGAAAACGCCGACAAGTTCGACTTGGATGGACTCAAAGACAAGAAAAAACGGTAAGTAATTATCATGGAGATCGTTTTTTTGTGTTTGCCTACCCAATACCATATAAATGTTTTAGTAAAAATTAGGTGCAACTAGTTTCGGTTAACAAGCCATCATCAGGCCTATAATAGAATTCAAATTGACAGGCAACAATGTAAAGTTATTTTATACTTACAATATAATAATATTGTTATATATTGTTAGAAGTTAAAAGAATTAACTTCAAAATTATTGTTTTTAAATGCTTTATCACCCTGTATACTATAACATCCTGTATAACCACTTCACAAAACACGTGTTAACATGGTTTTATAATGTTTGATTAAATATTAAGAAAACAATGTTTGAAATGGAATTAATTAAGGAACAAAATAAAGAATGTCTTTAGCGGGCATAATGCCTATCACTTCATTGCGTTCGGCTGGACGAAATTCAAGTGTTTTTGCTGACTCTAACACTATAAGTATAAAGTAACATCTCTTTACATTGTCTGCGCAAATATGGGGTAATTTTGCTGATTTCTCCTTATATTTGTGTATTTTTTAGAAAGGACTGTGACACCACATTTAAGAGTTTATTACAATATTATTATGTATACAACAAAACGAACAAGTTGTTGATACGAAAACACAGGCACAACAATGCTGGAATAAGTCAAGTATGAGGCTGCTTGCTTTTCTAACTGCTTTCCTTAATATTATCCCGAGATAATTACTTTTAATTCAATTTTACCGAGAAATAAGAAACGCCGGCCGGTTAACGCCCACAAAGTGCGGGAAACTCACATACCTCAGGTACACCCTTCTCGTCTTAAGTCAAGATTGCTTCTGTTTTAAACCATACCTGAGAATGAGATTGCACAGTTCGTGAGAGGAGATAGAAATATGAGCGAACTTCCAGGGTTGGTTGGAGTTACGTCATGAACAACCAATCAGACATTAATGTTATGTTGGTTGCATAATGATAGATGCGGTTTAGCAGTTAATTATATAATAAGGGGTGAGAGGAACAAATATATTTAAATTCGGTGTCTAGCGGCGTAGGGGAAAGAGGAGTAAAATAATTTAATGTATTCTGGCGGAGAATAATAGTAGTTATTTTCCAACACTGTCAATTTAAATTCTATTATAGGTCTTGTTAGTCAAAACTAGTTGCACCTAATTTTTATTAAAACATTTTGAGTTTTCTTCAATCATTTAAATATTACTACCACAATTGAGAACATGGATAATCTTTCATACTATAAATAGTGTCAAAAATCAATAGGAATATTAAGTTGTACACAAAAATAGGATTTGCTAGATTACTATGTTCATGATGTCCATCACTATCACGGAATCAGGTTTTTCAGTAATATTTTTAAACTATGTTTCAAAAACTGAGCCATCCAAGTCTTCGTGATAGTCACACGATTTCTTGGACTCAAACAACAATTAGCCATCTTCTTGAAATCCTTCTGAGCTTCCAATGTGAGTTATTACTAAACGCTTTCTTAAACCAGAACAGAAATCCTCCATAAACGTATGTTTCTTACTTTGTATAGTAGTGTCTTGCCAAATTTTCGACATAATGTGTCCTGCGTTTGTCCACGTTTCATTTAAATAAAGCTATCATTTCTTATTTTTCTATTAGGCTCTACTATTTCTCTCCAAGTTTGTCTAACTGCATTTTTTCCGTCATCTATTCTTGTTTTAGGTCTACCAGTAGATTTTTTCGGTTCTGATACATAATTTATTTAATTAAAAACACTTATTCACCTTTTTAAAAATAATTGTGTCGCCCTTGCGGATTACAACTAACATCTTCGCCTATAATATGTCGTGTTGTTTGATATTATGACTTCCCTAAATATAGTTGATCTCACTCCTTGCCCTAAAGCACGACGAAAGACAATTATTACAGGTATTTCAACTTAGGTACCTAAAATCCCATATAAAAACAAAAAACTATATGACATCAAACACAACATAGTTCCAAAAAATCCACCAGAGGTCGTTAGAAGGTGTGGTACTCGTTTGACCATTGTAAGAGCTACATATAAAGTATATTTTAACATCAACATGTATCCAAGTTCAAGATCTGGCCATCAGATCATTGGCCATCAGATCATTGGTCAATCATTTGACAAGTTATTATACTAATGTTCATGGAGCATGACATATATTATATTTACGAACAAATATAATTGTATTTTATTTATAACTCTAATAATTTTGCAATATTATTTATTGTTGTTAGTTTAAAGTAATGCTTCTCATCTTTGTTGAGGTCTGGTTATTGTCTAGTCTAGTTATTGTTGATCTTAGATATGAATGATGTACCTGGATGTACTGATGTCAAATTTTAATTTAGATATCAAAAGTAGAAACGGACGACGTAGAAATAAAATAAAGGCATAGTAACAATATTTACAATTTTATATTAAAGAATACACTATTTTCCTTATTTAATTATACCTATATCGGTGGTTATTATTATAAGTATGTGGTATAGTATTTTTCTTCTCGTTTTCACTTTCCAGAGAATGGGGATAGCCCCACATATATAAAAATACAATTTTCTTATACCTCTGTATTTTCTTTTATAGTCGTCACCATCATGGACATCACGGACACAGATCGAAATTTAGAAAATATTCACTACCCACGGATACAAAGCAATACAGCACTGAGAATACTGAACTGTTATTCAGCAAAAGCAGAAGAGTTTCCACGCAACCGGAAGATCAAGATCTTACTCCTAATGACAGAGACCAGCTGGATAGTCATAGGTTAGTAACTTATTGCATACATCTAATCTTTTTCTACCCAAGATAAGTGGTATCCAGATTTGTTCACTGCTTAGTCCTAACTTAATATTTCCTTTTCGTCATGTCCTGATTTATTCATCTCAATTCCATTTTTAACATTTTTTAAAGTAAATAATTTAACAATGAACATATTAATTAACAGTTTTAATTTATTTAATTTTATTTTTGTTACCTAGGTATATAGTTAAATTTAATTCAAAATTCCATTGAGATTCAAAAAGTTGAGGTTTGTTTATTTAAAACAGTTTTCCGTTTAAAATGAAAACGCGGAAAATCCAGCATCAAAAATCCGATCAAATATTCATATAGACATGTACATATTACATAATTGCCGATTATTTTACATCAGTAATTCTCAATAAATGCCTCTCTGGAGAGTTGAAGATGTAAAATAATGGAAATTGGGAATACAATTATTGAAACAAAAGCATTTGATAGAAACAAAAATATAAAACACAATATGCAATTCAAATACGAACTTAACAGAAAACCAATGTTTGTAAATTCAATATCAATAACGAGCCATTGAGAAAAATCATAATAATTGGAGTTGGCTGCGAAATTTAAATGTTTGATACTTCCACATATTGGCATTTAACATTGAAATTAAAACTGAACATTGTGTCACATTTGAAAAAACTTGTATTAAGAAAATTAAGTTTAAAAAATGTTATTTATTCAACACAGAGCAAAAAGCAAAAATTATCGAATGTTACTTCCGTACAGGTGTGAAAGTAAATGGTAAGGCAGTATTCAATTCTAGAATGCATGGCTGATTTTCTTAAAAAAACATCTGCAATTAGTGTTTCACTACAATGGTTTTAAAATGTTTTGACAAATTGTGGCATTGTATTACCTGTTTTAGGTTAAGTAACTGTAACGGCCCACCCCCGGCAACCCCTATTTGTTCGTTATTTTGTTTTACTTTCTGAAATGTTATTTTTATCTCACAAGTTTATTTTACTTTAAATTCTATACTTACTGTATTTGGCCTTTTTCCTCTAGTAGTAAAAGTGATCGTCTAGTTAATTTATTGATAATTTATATACCCACGTTGTGATAATGTTAATTAAGGTAAACCAGAATTCGATGCAAAGTTTGGTGCAAATTGATAAATAAAACCAGACAAATTTATATTTAAACTCTTTTATTTTTTATACTTTAAATGTGATGCAATAATTAACAAAGTTTATTACAATTGTTACTATTTACTGAGATCTCACTTGAGTCCCGTTCAAACGCAGACCATATTCATTTGCTATCAATATATATATTTTATTTGGGTTGATGACTAACGGAGTTAACGAACAGCGTCAATTCGCCAGGGTTAACTACTGTTTTTTTGTTTATATTCTTATTTAGTTAATGACCAACGGAGTTAACGAACAGCGACAATTTGTTAGTTGGTTAACTATTGTGTTGATGTTGATTTGAGTCTATTCTAGATATACACAGGTTGCACCCTCTTAGGTAAATATTTCGATGAGTATAGAGGTGATGACCAACGGAAGTAACGAACAGCGCCAATTCGCCAGTTGAATTATTTTACTATGTTGATTTTTCATATACTTTGTTTCAAACCTAGTAGAAGGGGTTGCTTAGCATATAGGTGTCCTCCCTTGAGCTAACGAACATGGTATTCACCAGTTGGTTAACTTACTATTAAATTTTACCATCTTGGTTTGTACAATTTATCCAAGATAGCACATCCCTGTATATTTCTAAAATATTGATTTTTATAATTTCTATTGAAATGACTTAATACAACCCTGTATATTTTTTTATATTGATTCTTATAATTTCTATTGAAATTATTTTATACAACCCTGTATATTTCCTTAATATTGATTTTTATAATTTCTATTGAAATACTCAAAAATTCACCCATCGAAACAGATGTCTATCCTAACTGTCTTTCGGGGTGTATGACCTGAAGGCCATGTGGTTTATTGGTTAGATTGATAATATTTTGTAGCAAATGTCAAAAGTCCCCGTTTAAACGAATCCCCGGTAGTATCTCAAAGAAAGTTACATACATATTTTGACTCATCATTGAAAATACAGACATTTAATTATATACAATTTCATCTAGCGTTGTGGCGGCGTCGATTTAGGTACGTCGCAGCGTTGAACGTCGCCTTGCGTCGAGGCGCCTAGCATCTTGGTTGAGAGGAAAATTTTTAATACGGTACTGCATTGGGACAGATATACGGTAGAATTATTAAGGTGGTGCGGGACGTGACGAAGGGTGTCGACAAGGATATTATGAAGGAAATATTTAGGGACGGCAAGCGTCGGAAATAAGGCGTGGGACGTTGACAGCGTTCAGGGAATAGGAGATATTGTAGGATAGACTTTGTTTAGGAAGAACATTTAGGAAAGGTACTGACTACTGAATTTAAAATATAACTGGATACAAATAATAAATGAATGCTTGCACATCAAATAATAAAAAATGAATGCTTGCACATCAAATAATAAAAATGAATGAATCCGAGCTCATTTGGGTCTGACTTCTTATACTAAAGTTAATGGCTTTTGTGACATCTCTATGTCTTTAGTTCTCAGCGATATGCGAATGTGGGTGCAGAGGGTGGCTTATTTATTATGTGCCTTGAGAGCTTTGTGTATCGAAATATTGTCGAAATCGGTCTTAACATTGAAACTAGAAAGATAAGCGAGTTATGTGTTTTAATGATGATTACTTCGTGAAAAGAAATATGTTTTATGATCTACGTTCCCAGATTCTTGTACGAAATTTGGATCTTCTACGAACGTGGTTATAGATATTATTTATTAGGTGTCGTAAATAAGATTTAATTATCTGGGAGATTTTTCGTTAAATCAAAGATTTTTAATTTAATAAGAATGCAATATTATATTTATTAAATGGAATTAATAAATTATTAAGGTACCTGGGTGCGGTAGGTTACATAACCTAGTGAAATAACTGGATCCAAGTTTAGCGGTATATTCTTGATGGTCATTTCAAACTTCTCCTTTATATAGTTTGCCATGATTCCTCAAGTCCCCTTATGAGTTGATAAAAATCTCACCTACTTCAACCACTGCCATCATAAAAATGTGGGGTTTATACAGTTATCTATAATTTAGGCATGCGCACAATGGGACCATCTGGATCGCAATGGAATGCGATACGATTATCCCATTTTTTAAAACTAACCTAAATGTGCCAAACTTGTCCAGCTTATTAGTGTATGTGTTTGGTACTGTTTTGTTTTTCATGCTCTAATAATAATCCTTATTCTGTTGCATAAATAGTACTGTAGAGTTTTTTTGTGCAATGAAACAATTTCTGTTGTAAAAGAACACAATATAAAGCGGCATTACTCCAGCAAGCATTTTGCTTAATATAATTCACTTATGGGCCAATTAAGAAAGGATAAAATTAAAGAAATCATTACCGATTTAGGGAAATAGCAGCAAATGTTCCATTCAAAAGATCAAATCTAGACAGTGTTATAAAGCTAGTTTTATAATTAGTTTCAAAATAACGAAAACATCAAAGTCATTTTCTGAGCAACACTTTGTTAAAGAGTTGCAGAACTTTTATGCCCAGAAAAGAAGAACGTTTGAGAAAGGGAGCTTATCGCGACGTACTGTTGTTCGACGTATAGATATGATGGCTAGTGATATCAAAAAAACATTGACTGATACATTAGCTGGTTTTTAAGCATTTTCGATTGCTTTGGATGAATACACATTTATCTGACACAGCCCAGTTAGCTATTTTTATATGAGGTGTTGATGAAGAAGTTGCAGTGACAGAGGAATTACTGGCTTTAAGGCCGTTACAAGGAAAAGATATTTTTGCCGAGGTTCAAAGTACTTTTGAGCAATATGGTTTGCGGTGGTGTAAATTAGTTGGAGTGGGCACGGATGGTGCGCTTTCAATGGTCGGTTTACGAAAAGGTTTTATCTGAATTCTGAAGAAAATAGCAACCACTATAAATGTGCAAGAATGTGATTTAATAAACTTGTACTCTAAGTCCATTAGATTGAAAAATGTTATGAATGTGGTAGTAAATACCAATAATTTCATTAGATCCCGCGGTTTTAACCATCGCCAGTTTGAAGGATTTTTAGATGAAATTTCTTCAGAATACGACGATGTGACATATAATTGCGAAGTAAGGTGGCTAAGTAAAGGTAAAATGACCTTAGAAAAGAAATAGGTGATTTTATGGAAATAGAAGAGAAAACATTGCCGTAAATTTGTGATCCTACTTGGCTTTGTGACTTGGTATTCCTGGTAGACATTATAGGACACTTGAAATTGAAGCTTCAAAAACAAAGGCAAGTGGTAAATCAGCTGAATAGTCATCTTATATCTTTTCAAAATAAAATTCGCTTGTGGGAATCACAAATGAGAGGTAAAAACTGTTTTAATTTTTAACATTGTCCAGTTACGAAAACATTGAATACCGTCGTTATGCTGAAGAATTGAAACTAATGTCCGAGCAATTTACTGGTCGATTTTCCGATTTTAAAAATATGTACTTTCAATATTTTTACAAATCCTTGTAAGTGTAATGTGGACGATGCTCGGCTTCACCTACAAATGGAATTGATCGAGCTTCAAGAAGACTCATATTTGAAGTCTAAATTTGATAATGTAGAACTAAGCGGGTTTTACAAAACATACCTTTCCAAAGAAAAGTATCCACACCTGAGAGTTTTCGCACGAAAAATAATTTGCACATTTGGAAGCATGTATAAATGTGAGCAGCTGTTTTCAATCATGAAAATTAATAAAAATAAGCATTGTACTCTGCTTATAGATGTTAATTTAGAAAACACTTTGTGTCTATGTACTAGTGATATTAATCCCAATATTGATCATCTTTTTTCTCAGCCTCAAACTCAAGTCTCATTAATTTTCATTTGATTTTTCTAACTTTTTAATTACTTTGCTTTTTATATTCTATTATAATTAATAA